AATAGCAGTCAGTTATCTTCAAGCAGGTGTGTTACGCTAACAGTGGATACGGTGCCCAGTGCCACCACTTAGATCTGGTGTCACAATAGCTTGGATTTAAAAACAAAAACTTTTTTCACTGTTATAGATTGAATAGCAGTCAGTGTCCTTAAAGCGGGTGTGTTACGCTAACAGTGGATACGCTGCCCAGTGCCACCACTTATATCTGGTGTCACAATAGCTTGGATTTAAAAACAAAAAACTTTTTTCACTGTTATAGATTGAATAGCAATCAGTATCCTTAAAGCGGGTGTGTTACGCTAACAGTGGATCCGGTGACCAGTGCCACCACTTAGATCTGGTGTCACAATAGCTTGGATTTAAAACAAAAAAACTTTTTTCACTGTTATAGATTGAATAGCAGTCAGTGTCCTTAAGCGGGTGTGTTACGCTAACAGTGGATACGGTGACCAGTGCCACCACTTAGATCTGGTGACACAATAGCTTGGATTTAAAAACAAAAAACTTTTTTCACTGTTATAGATTGAATAGCAGTCAGTGTCCTTAAAGCGGGTGTGTTACCCTAACAGTGGATACGGTGACCAGTGCCACCACTTAGATCTGGTGTCACAATAGCTTGGATTTAAAAAAACCCCACTTTTTTCACTGTTATAGATTGAATAGCAGTCAGTGTCCTTAAAGCGGGTGTGTTACGCTAACAGTGGATACGGTGACCAGTGCACCACTTAGATCTGGTGACACAAAGCTTGTATTTAAAAACAAACAAACACTTTTTTCACTGTTATAGATTGAATAGCAGTCAGTGTCCTTAAAGCGGGTGTGTTACGCTAACAGTGGATACGGTGACCAGTGCCACCACTTAGATCTGGTGTCACAATAGCTTGGATTTAAAAAAACAAAACACTTTTCACTGTTATAGATTGAATAGCAGTCAGTGTCCTTAAAGCGGGTGTGTTACGCTAACAGTGGATACGGTGACCAGTGCCACCACTCTCTGGTGTCATAATAGCTTGCATTTAAAAACAAAAAACTTTTTTCACTGTTATAGATTGAATGGCAGTCAGTGTCCTTAAAGCGGGTGTGTTACGCTAACAGTGGATACGGTGCCCAGTGCCACCACTAACTGGTGTCATAATAGCTTGGATTTAAAAACAAAAAACTTTTCACTGTTATAGATTGAATAGCAGTCAGTGTCCTTAAAGCGGGTGTCAGGCCTACAGCCTGTGCTCTGCACAACTGTGCCAGTGCACATTGCCACTCATATCTGGTCTCACAGTAGCTTGCACGCATAGTACCACTAATCCCAACAAAAATGACAGGCAGAGGCAGGCCACCCCGCAGGGGCCATCGTGGTCGTGGTGCTGTGATTCCCTTTGGCCCTAGAATAATGCCCAGTTTTCAGAGGCCACGTACCCTGAACTTGAAAAGTTCTGAGGACATAGTTGACTGGCTAACACAGGACACCCAATCTTCTACAACCTCCGCTCAGAACCTTGATGCACCATCCTCCTCCAGCTTAGCTTCAGGCACCTCTCAAGATACCACTCACCCGCCTGCCGCCACCACCAGAACTAGCACCACAGCCGCTTCAGTTGGTATGTCAGAGGAGTTATTCACACATCCGTTTGAAGAAATGAGTGATGCGCAACCATTATTGCCAGAGGATGTAGATAACAGGGATATGTCTCGGGCAGGCAGCATTACACACATGGACGTACGGTGTGATGATGATGATGATGTTGTACCCGCTGCTGCTTCCTTTGCTGAGTTGTCAGATACAAGTGAAGCGGTTGATGATGGCGATGCGTCCATGGATGTCACGTGGGTGCCCGCTCGTCAAGAAGAAGAACAAGTGAAAGTTTCAGGATGAGGAGACAGGAGGGAGGAACCGTGAGGACGCTGGAAGCGGGGAGATTAGGTGACAGCAAAGGAGCTAGTGGCGGATCAGACGAAGCATGCAGCCGACACCGGGGTCAGCCGACGAACCGCATGATCAACGCATGCTGGCAGTCACCGCAGAATGCCGTCATTTGCGGAAGTCTGAACAGTGTGGAATTTTTTTTGTGTGTCTGCCTCTGACAACAGCGATGCCATTTGCAACCTGTGCCAAAGAAACTGAGTCGTGGGAAGTCCAACACCCACCTAGGTACAACTGCTTTGCGTAGGCACATGATCTCACATCACAAACGCCTATGGGATCAACACATGAGTACAAGCAGCTCGCCTACTCTAAGCCGCCAACCTCCTCCTGGTCCAGCATCTTCAGCCACGTCAACCACTGCTGTCCTCCTTGTCCCCTCTCAACCATCTGCCACTCCGCCTCCCGCCTTGAGCAGTTCACGCTCATCTTCCCACAGTCATGTGTCTGTCAAGGGCATGTTTGAGCGTAAGAAGACAATGTCAGAAAGTCACCCACTACTACTTGGCGTCGACTGCTTTGAAGCGAAATCGCGCATGCGTACACAAGCTGGTGGAGTCTGAAGCGTTCAAAAAATTTGTAGCTATTGGGACACCGCAGTGGAAGGTACCCGGCCGAAATTACTTTTCGCAAAAGGCAATCCCCAACCTGTACTCAATTGTGCAAAAGGAAGTATAGCATCTCTGGCACACAGTGTTGGGGCAAGGGTCCATTTGACCACTGATACCTGGTCTGCAAAGCATGGTCAGGGCAGGTATATCACCTACACTGCGCATTGGGTAAACCTGCTGACTGCTGCCAAGCATGGAATGCATGGCTCTGCAGAGGAGTTGGTGACACCGCCACGGCTTGCAGGCAGTCCTGCTGCCACCTCCTCTACTCCTCCTACTCCATCCTCTTCCATAACCTCCTCGGCTGAGTCCTCTTCTGCTGCTGCGTCTTGCTCCACATCAACGGCACACCCCCAGCTCCCCCCAGGTACTATTCGCGGATACGGTGTCCGCGCCGTCTTAGAGTTCCGGACAGAGGTCGCGGACAAGCGTCTGTCGCCATGAGCGTGGAAAAGTGGCCGACTCCGCAGCGACTTGATATCGGCAAAGTGGTTTGTGACAAGGGAACAAATTTGTTAGCGGCATTGAAGTTGGGCAAGTTGTCACATGTGCCGTGCATGGCACATGTGTGTAATCTGATCGTACAACGCTTTGTGCATAGGTACACAGGCTTACAGGACGTCCTGAAGCAGGCCAGGAAGGTGTGTGGCCATTGGCGCCTCAAATGATGCTTAAGATTAGAAGCGGCTGAAAAGCATTTCTCACACAGGTATTAAACTGATAAAAATAGTACTAAACACTACACTCCTATCTGGTGTCACATTAGCTTGACCGCGCAGTGCCCCAAATTTGCAGTAAGAGGACCGACCAAGGCTCTTCTTCCATCTCCCTGTTACAAAAATCAATGCCGTACACGACCACTGATAGGAGACGTGGAAGGTATTAAACTGATCAGAACAATACTAAACACACCACTCCTATCTGGTGGCACATTAGCTTGACCGCGCAGTGCCCCAAATTTGAATTAAGAGGACCTACCAAGCATCTTCTTCCATCTCCCTGTTACAGAAATCACTGCCATATCCATACAAATTGTACAGAATGTCCAGGATAGTTTTCCAGGGACAAGTTGTCGCCTGTTGAACGAGGTGACTTTGCTCGGGTCCCAGGTGTACGGTTCCTAAAATGGCTGCCATATACACGCCCACTGATAGGAGACGCGGAAGGTATTAAACTGATCAGAACAATACTAAACACACCACTAATAAGGTTTCTCTCCTGTATGGCTCCTCAAATGATGCTTAAGATTAGAAGCGGCTGAAAAGTATTTCTCACACAGGTATTAAACTGATAAAAATAGTACTAAACACTCCACTCCTATCTGGTGTCACA